TTTGTAAATCTTACGACTTTGTATTTTCGTCTTTATTTCAAGACAAATGCATGCACACTCATTGTCTGAAAGGTAATTGATATTTCCACGAATCCATTTATAATGTACTGAGCTTATTGTCCGTTAAAGTTCATGGACTTTTTTTCATGAATGAAAAAAAGCCTTAAATTTGTTGTTGTTTTTCTCGGGTTTTCTTTAGTATTTCATACTGTTTATTTCATCATTATAAGTGGTTGAATAATTAACTGAAAGATTATTCGTTTCATAGGTAGCATTATTCTGACTGATTACTGTCACATATATGATTCATCTTTTTATTCCGTTCATTATTCTCCTTCCTAGTTTTTATTCCAATGGATTTGTTAGTAGAACATGTAGTAGATATATCCATAGTTTGTAAGGCATGAAAGCTACTGATTATCGGCTACAACCTTTCAAGTTCAAGATTGTTTAACATTAAAATTCGATTCACTGGTTTAAACATTTTACTGCTAAACAAAATAGTTCATGAAATGTAACTCAGTTTGTCTACTTCGACCTCCATAACATTGTTGTATCATATTCTCTATGGGAACAAGGGTATGGTTCACAACCTAGTAAAAATACGTACATTATGTTTCTGCGCTTTAACCGGTATGATACCATTTCTCTTTTGTTTACCTATTCTAACAGTATTGTATTAAAATTTCCGCATATTATTCGTGAACTTATACTGCTTATTAATGTTACCAATTAAAATTCGATATTTTGGTGAAATTCTAGAATGAAGAATCTTCAGATTAAGCGTAGACTGGAGTTTCTGGAGCACCCACTACGCACATTTGGCAACTCTCTTCACCGAAATACAATATTAGCTAATTAGATGCATTTATTCATTCATTCATTAACATTATTATTATTATTATTACTATTAATACTGCCAAAATTTTAAACGTACTAACCTTGACTATTAGGTCTCCTTCTCTGATATCCTTTTTGGGTATTTTGATATATTTTACTAACTGTGTGTGTATGTATGTATGTATAGTCTACTTGGCGGCTAGTAGTGGAATCCAGGACTCTTCAGTTGGATGTACCTAAGCGTCAGTAAGTAGTGGTATTCCTACTGAGACTGGAACTCAGTAACCATCGCTTCAAACGCCAATGCATTACAGACTGACCCACTGGGGCACGAGGGTCACCACTTGTGTGACGAATATGAGTTATTGTTTGTCAATACTTGTAACTTCCCCTTGTTATACTGGGTTGAATTGCTCGACTTCTGTTGGGAACAATTGTTAGCAACTTGATTCACAAGGCATAAGTTATTGTGTATAATCATATCATTGTTTGAGTTTGAATAAAGTGTACTCATCACTTAAGGTCTTATAGCTGTACATAATTAAAAAAACATGAAATACAGCTTATTAGCTTTGGAATGCACTCCTTTTACTTTCTACCGACTTATTAATCGAATTCTAAACTGCGAATAATACAGCAAACCTTAGGTATATTACTTTTTGTAAGGTGTCACTGATGGTAATATTTAGCAACCTATCAAAATGTTTGTCAGTCAAATCTGAATCTTTGAGTACAACTTGATCAGTACACTAGACAACTTACCCTTATGCTAGTTCGACTGGCGTATCTGATTAAATGTATGCCTCAAATCAGAAGTTATTTAACTTAATTTCCAAGATACCGGCCATTGTTGAATAATTTTTTTTTGCATAGATGATTCTGGTTTCTTCACGCATGTTGCAAGACCTTTTGAAGAAGGGAGAAGGAGGACACATGCCGTTTTCGGCAAATTTCTTTTCACCTTGTAGATGACTTTGATCACTGTATCAACTGTGGTGCTGCAATCAGCCGTCCAATGATTCCTGGTAACCTAAAGTATAAGCTTCCGCATCTAATCACTTCCATGTGTGTTTAACAATTAACCTACTCATGAGTAACCAGGTATGTCTTTCTTTCTATGCGCGTTACCACCATACGTTCAAGAAAACATTACTATGATTGAATGCGAAGGGGTTTGAATGGATCCATCAGAAGTGTCATGATTGGAGACTTTGTCAACGTTGGTCACAGTAACATAGCTAATTCAGTATTCAAATTCATCTACAATGTAAAAAGTAATTTGGCTTGAACACTGCTATGCTTATTCCATTCACATATTTCTGAAACAGAAACCTTTTTTTCAAACTATCATACGTTTCTTTATTCAGTTATGCAATTAAGTTCGAGTTTTGTGTGTAACTTTTGTACCATTAATACTATGAATAAGTTGATCTGGATTTCTTTTTATTTCGATATAATAATCGAATACTTTTATAGCTCTCTGTAAAGTCTTAAACATTTATTGAAGTATCATTTTTGGAATGGTTTGTTGTAAAACCAAATAGGAAAACTCCAGATTGGAATCCATTAAAAAACGGATTGAACGTCTACGTAGCCTAATGTTAAAAAAGTATTTATCATCACACTTAAAAATACACTTTTTCTAGTCATCTACAAATACATAAGAATTAAACTATGCTAATGTGCATAATTTTTAGGGTCACATGTAAGCTACTTAAAACTGCTAATGCACACAGAAATGTGCCTAATAAGATTTGTGTCACTTAACGTTTCTTCCTATAAACAGAAAAAAAACATACCATGACCTCGTTTTAACTCAAAAAATCGAGTAGATTCTAAGTGACTGAAAGGTCTTGGGTTAATCACGTTCCTTCTAGTTGGATTTGATATCTTTTTACTATTTTGATAAATCGTTCACTTCATACAGTCATCGTTTACGCTCTATTTCACATGCATATTTCCTTTGATAAAGTCTGTGACAGCAGGTAAAAGCATTGGAGCAGAATAATAAACGAACAAATAAACCGCACTTAGCTACCTTGTCTACATTCATGCAGTACTCAATGAGTCCCATCTATTGTGTGATGGCTAGTGATATTACTTAGCTACCTAAACCTCACTATTTGAGGCCGCGCTCGGACCAGGGACCGAATGGTTTGTATAATGATCTCCCTAAACCCCAAATATAACGAATGTATATAGAATACTCAGAGTAATGTGGGTTCGTCTTCTTAATTTTGATTTTTTTAATGCTCCTCACAACCTATGATATGTAAGTGGAGTTAGTCGCAACAGAACAACGGCACAGTGATGTAGTGAAACTGTGCTGATTAAAATAAAGTTAAGATTTCCACTTAATAATATCACGAATATATATATATATATATATATATATATATATATATATATATATTGTTAGAAAGAAGACTCTCGTAAAACTTAGATGGACGTTAAAGCGAATACTGTGGAATTTGAGACAAGAGATTAATTATATAAGCCAGTGAGCAGAAGAATTACAACAAAAGATGATAAGCAGGGCTCAGTAGATTAAGGTTTGGTATGAACTGGAAACGTAATGGGGGGAATAATAATGTAGTCAAGTGAAGTTTGAAAAAGGTAGGTGATCATGAAAGTTAAATTGAATTGAATTTCACAATGTGAAGATTTAAATTATTCTATTTCTTAATTATTTTGAAGAAGTGCAAAGTATCTGTTTGATCCCCTGTGTCCTATAAATCCTTAGTAACCTTCCCTCGATCGTAAGTTTTTCAGGTTATGTTCAAAATATCTGTGGCCAAGTCCTACCTTCTATTTTACTAATGTAACTTTACTGGAAGATAAAAATAGATTTTTTACAAACAATTAGAGGTAACACATGATGGAAACCTTTCAAGTTTTGATTGTCCCAGAAAACAGGGGACTTAAAATAAGAAAATGACTTTACTGTAGGCCACATCATGACCATTTTGGTTCTTTGTCTTTCCCTTATCATCACCTTTTTTGTCGAGTTGAGTGAAGAATGGCATCTCAATGTGGATGCATTCTTTCCTACTGTATTTGGTAATGATCCACTGAACTAAGTAAAATAAAGCAATTCTTCACATTTCTTGACTTGATCAAGTATATTAATCGATCTCGCACCAGGTTCTTTACACGTTTAAGCATTTTGATGAAAATGTCACTGTTGAAAAATTGTTTGTGTACAAAATGTTCTGAATTTTTATGTCAGTTAACGACCGGTTTTTCAGTGATTCACAAAATCCGAAGTGAAAGTCTTTTTATGAGTTATATCTTTCGCTATTGAGTAATCATGCGTTTTTTTAGCATTGTTAGTCGGAAGGTTACAGTCACTTATGCTATTATATGATCTTTTGTTTTGTTTGTTTGAGTAAAATCTGTAACCAATGCATTTTATAGTTTTTGTTGATGTACTTGTAATTCTCCGTTGTTTTACTGGGTCGAATCGTTCCACTTCTGTTGGCATATGAGCTCCTTTAGGGATGCCTCGATATTGCCTGAATATTTATTACGGTAACTGACTAATCACAACCAAGTCATTACCATCACAAATATTTAGGCAACATCGAGGCAGCAGCATAGGAGCTCATATGTAGATAGAGGTCGAACAATTTGATCCAGTATGACAACAAAGAATTAAAAGTACACCAACAAATAGTAATAAGTAATACCCGTTGTACAAGAGGTGACTATCGTGCCTCAGTAGCCCAGTGGATAACACTTTAGCGTCTGGAGCGATGAGTACAGGGTTTGAGTCTCAGTGCGAACAACGTCGCTCACTGAGGTGCGGGCACATCCAGCACTTTATGGCACCTATGGAAAATCTAAATTTTCATCTCAGTAATCTGTTGTACTTTCTAAACTTCTCTGTTAGCCTGACACGGTATATTCAAACGTTGAAATAGTGTAGGAGTCTGCAACCTGATTTTAAAAACTCAGCGCTGAGATTATTGAACTACAGCCTAAGAGTATCTATGAGTTAGTGTCTAAATGACTGAAAGCTTTTGATTCATGTCGTTTTTAAAAAATCATATTCACCTTTCACTAATAAACGCTTGACTAGATGCTGTCTATCATGCTTTTTTCAAAACGAAAATTGATAAAATACTTTCTGACTTACTTTTATGTGTTTTTCTATTCAGTCGACATGGTACACGGTGTGCTGGTGAAGTAGCTGCTGCTGCAAACAATAGTGTATGTGGACTTGGTATAGCCTACAAAGCTCGAATAGGTGGTGTACGTATGCTGGATGGGGATGTAACTGATGCAATGGAATCACGTTCATTAAGTCACCAGTTACAACACATTGATGTATATTCTGCATCATGGGGCCCGGAAGATGATGGAAAAACAGTTGATGGTCCTGGAAAACTTGCTCAAATGGCATTTCGTAATGGGATACAAATGGTAAGCAGTTTAACTTGCATCTTGTTTTTCTATTCTCTGTCTACGTCACTGGTCATTTTCAATTAATGTTTAAAAGCACCATCGCTATAAGCTGATGCACTATAAGTAGTGATAGGTTTATTATTTCATTCTACAGTACTTGTTGAAACGCATAAAAGTCCTGGTTTTCTTTCTGAGGTAAGACTTACATAAAAAATTTTTGAAGTTTTAACGTCAAGAGTCGTTAAAATGACTTTATTTTCCACCATCTTTGTTCAGCACCTCATGCAAGTAATATTAGTACTCCTAAAGTAACCAACATACCACATTTATATCCTCACACAGAACCTTCATACAATTCTCTTGTTATATAACCTGTGAAGAGTATCTGATTTCTTCATCCACAACAATGGAGCAAAATTTTTGACGTGTAAGCATGAGCCTGTAAATGAACTTTTACCAAGTTTCAGAACTGGTTGTGTATGTGCTGACCAGGAATTCATCATCCAAAACGTCCTATTTGGCTCCATTGACCGGAAGTTCTCATAGTAATCTCTCAGAGATAAATACAGGGTAGGTACATCACCCTGTTGAGTTTCCACCCTTTTCATTCGTATTTTGTTTTTTCACAGATTTGTTATCTCGCTCTGCAGGAATTGATCATGTGAAGAGAGAATTCTCAGTGCATCTAGAGTACGCAGGTGACATAGTTCTGCTAGATGAAGACACTGATAAGAAGCAAAGTTTTCTGGGCACCTTGAGTAGCAACTGGAGAATTCTTGGGAAGCTTTCCTCATCAGCTGAATGAAAACTGTTGCTCCTGAAATAGTGTTCACTGGCACCTCATTTAACGACTGGGAGTGAAGTAGTTGGGCGGGTAGACCACTTCACTTACCTGAGAAGTCGAATTAACCATAGTGGGTCAGTAGCCGACGAAATCACGGCATGGATAAAATTGGCTGGATTGGCTTTCGCCAAATTAAGCCACCTGTGGTGCTGCTTTAACATCCAATTGTCTTTTAAGGGTCGAGTGTTCTGTTCTACTATACGGCTATTAAACTTGGCTGTTATTGGTAGAGGATATGAGTCGCTTCAGGTTTTCAACCAAAATTATCTTCAGAAAACCGACCGTGTATCGTGCTATTACCACTTGAGTAGCACAGAGGTAAGCGTGGAGTCTTAGGTGGTAGAATAAATTCAGTTAATGTGTCTGTGAACTTTCATCAGTCGAGGTGGCTGGAACATGCTTCACGTATGCCTAGTTCCCATTCGCTCCATAGCGCAATGTTAGCTGAATTAGGTGCTAGTTTCAGCAAGGTAAAAGGCAGCCAGATTGAAATATGTAATATGGAAACGTGGAGTCTTCAAATTTTAGTTCGAGTCGTGCAGGGAAGTGTAGACTTCTTGGTTGGAGTCAGCGCAACAGCTGAAGTCGTTTATTAGAGATTCTAGTTGATATGACTCGTAGTTAGTGTCGATGATGCAGACGTATTCACATATCACTATCTTCTTACTTGTCTTTTCGAATTTCACTGTTTCATTCTTTCTCGTTGTGTTCACACGATTTTCTACTGCATCGACTAGGTTCTTTCTAATTTCTCTACCCTCCATCTTCGTGCCTCCTACTTTGATGTGGTGAGATGAGGTGTGTTAACTTGGATTGTTTTGCCGTAATGCCAAGTCCGACGTTTGTGATGACCGAGTGAATAGTGGAGAATTGAAACGATTTTTTATTGCATCATACATTTTTGTGGCGTTTATTAATATTTAGTAATTTATTGTAAATTTATAAAAATACAACTATTCTGTTAATTTGTATACATACTAAAAATATATTCCTGAACTTCAGTACAAACTTTGATATTTAGTATCCAGCAGTCAGATATTGTCCTTCACGTGATATTATTTGGATTTCCAATCGCAACAATGGCGAACAGTACTTCAACTCCTAGAGTTAATATACGTTTCTTCTACATTGTTAACATTCCTTGCTGTCAATTGCCAACAGGCACAAGACTTTGATCTAAACTTTCTTACTATTGCTTTTAAATACATAAGATTTATACTTTTTTGTCAGTGTGGGTATATATTTTAAATGCGTGTGTCCTCAGTTCTCTTGATATCATAATAATGGGTTGAATAGTCTTACCTTAGCTTCAGTTTAAGCGTTAGTTTGTTCTTTCATATATGATCACATGGTTTGAGATGATTGAATCAAGAGGATAATCTAAAGGAATAAACCAAGAGTGTATTATGATAAATTTCATGCATTATCTTGTCGATTATATTATAGTGTATTGCATCTGGTTGGCGAGTGATTAAATACATGTGTTCTGGTGGATTTTCGACAAGTTGAAATTTATGTACTTGACATCAACCTACTCATGGGTATGGCTTCTTTAAAAAAGGATTTGTGCACGCTATCACACGTTGTCGTACTAAAAGTAATAGATCACACCATAATATGGAAGTTTTCATAACTGACTATTGTAATCTATTTTAACCTCAACGGCAGGAACTTGGTATCATATTTATGTTTTTAACTCTTCACTAGTGTGATTATTGCGGCTATATAAGCCTCAGTCCACGAGATCTATGTTCTGTAAGGAACTTGTTATAATCCGTTTGTTATCTTCGTTGTTTACGGAAATGAAAATTTATTTCTAAGTAAAACTTCTGATATGAACAGTGTTGTGGTTTGTATTTATGTATGCGTGTGTATATGTTAAAAATTTACAGAATGATTTATATATATAACGGATGGAAAGCAATTAAATGGTGAAACTTTTTCTCAAGTGAATTATGATTCGATGTCAACTGAAACACGCCAACTAACTAATGTTTTTTTAATCATTTTCATTTTGTGTCATTTTTTTCTGTAGATATATTTGTACAGCTCAATCTGGTTTTATTTATATATTATCAAAGTCTACGGTTTTTGTATCTAACGGCATATGATGTATTCCAACATGAGATCGGTCCTCCTAAGAATGGAGATCAATTTGATATTCACTCCGTTTCATACAGCCTAACCTGTATATTCACTTCTTTCCATTGGGACCATCACATTTCAGAGTTCTTGTTGTCTTTTAAAAAATCTACATCTCTTATCCTGTAATCATAGTAGATATCCATGGCTTTTCTTGACAAAAACTCCTAAAATTGTCAGTAAATACTTATTGGTCTGTGGTTTACTGATTTATTTATCCTTATTTCTATTTTCCTCTTTTAGTACCTGACGAATTGCGAACCAGTAGCCTTTAGGCTACTGGTCCGGTGCTCTATGAGACTTAACCAGTGACCAGATTTTAATTTCACTTCAATCACCCAGTGTTTTGTCTGACTACCATGTGAATTCATGACGCGTAAATGTCTGTTTATGATAACCCTGCCTAGCCAGGGTTATCTCAGACAATATGATGCTCGCGCTTTTTAATTCAAATAAATTTGGATTGGGGTGTGAAGATCTGACTGAGCATCCTGTGTAATTACGATTAACGAATATTTACTCATCAGTAACTCACACGGGATTTGAGCGAAATCCTTGATGATTGAAGTGAACTTAAGATCTCATCGGCAGTTAGGTCTCTTAGTTCAATTGGTAGAGCATCTAGTCGGTAACCTGGAGGTCATTGGATGGAATGCTGCGGCGAACCAGATTTACACTTCGCCTTCAGTCATCACCTTGCGTCAAAAGTACTTGACAGTTACTTTTATGGGTTGAATTTAGTGCATAAATGGAATATCAAGCAAGAGTCTACATGGATATATTATAATTTTATTTACCTCTGTTCGACCAAATCTCTACCTTTCTGTTTTAAATTATCTGATTCGCAATCCATTCTTTTTATAGGGTCGCAGAGGTTTAGGATCAATTTTTGTATGGGCCAGCGGAAATGGTGGTACAAGTCATGACAACTGTAATTGTGATGGATACACGAATAGCATTTATACATTAGGCGTTGGATCAGTTTCAGAACATGGATCTGTTCCATGGTATGCAGAACTTTGTTCTTCAACATTGGCCGTCACTTATAGTAGTGGAGGACGTGGGGAAAGGGGTGTTGTAAGTTTTAACATTGTTTTTAAAAATCAGAAGTGCATATTTTTAATCGTATATTCATGAGTTATCTCTCCAATTCTACTTAAATACATTGGTTTGTAAATTGGTGAACATTTGTGCTGAGCAAAATTTCTGTACGAAATCAACCGTATTGCGCACAATATTCTTAGTTTGTAAAAGGCATAATTAGTTAGATAAGCTACACTTTATCAAGCTGTGTTAACAACGTATGCTTTAGGTATATAGGTATTGTTATCTTTAAGCGATGAGGTTAATCAGAACACATTTCCTTAATGATATTGGAATTGAAACGCAATTTTACTACTTTAATTCATCTTGGTTTGTTTGGTCGGTTGATTGTTTTATCTTACTCTTTCTATCGATAATATACGTGCCTGAGTAAAAGACCTGATTTCCATTTGCTTCATCGTATTATGTGGAGCTGGTGTCTGAGTTACGAAGGGAACCTCTGTCTTGCTGGATTTCAAACCCCTAGTCCTCCGGGTTGCCAACCTGGTGCCCTAAAACTGAACTACGGTTGTAGTAGAAAAAACCGTAGGTAGTATTTAAAACTTTGAAGATAGTTTTAAGAAGTGATAAGATCAGAGTTGTTCACATTTATTTAACGAATAAGAAGGATATTAGAAAAATGCACATTTGGATCTACGCAGTTGTTTATATTGGTGTATACATCGATAAACGAACGCAGTATTGTTTTTATTACAACAATTCTGCAGTTATACGATGATTGAATAACACCAAGAAGAATTGTTTAGAACTAGGTATGGAATGAAAGGATTTATACAGATTATTAAATTGAGTAATTCAAACATGTTTGCCTACAATTTCAATGAGAACTAAATGTCTAGTAGATGGATAATTGATAATGGACAATGAAGTTTTAATCACTAGTGTTCTGCAGTTTAATCAACTATAAGCAATTTCATAACCTTTAAATATATTTTTAGTTTACTTATGTTGTTAAAGAGTATATTTGTGACTCTTTTGTGTGATCACCCATCTCTTCTCCGTCTAGCAGAGTTTATGCAGTCACATGTACCTTATAGTCTAATAAACCAATTGGAAAGTAATTTATATGAACTATGATCAAGATTTAATCAAATAATATCGCCAATATTGGTCACTGAGTAAAAAGCTGATATGACATACTATTTATATTTATGTAAGTCACAGCGTGTTTGCAATAAAATGTAAACTCTGATAGAAGAAGCGATTTCTACGAAGTCACTAAAGGTCAGAAATTATTTTTTCAACCTCATTGAGATTGTATCAATCTATTTCATTTATATTAATGGTGGATCGTGGCTAGCAGTGGATGCGAATTTCGTCATACTTAGGACTCGTCAGCTGAATGTACCTACTTCCCAGTGAGTGATGTTATTCCCACCGGGATTCGGACTCGGGAGCGATCGCTTCAAACGACAGGGCGTTATCCACTACGGTGGTATGATATAAAAAAATCATATTATTTCATTTATAGTTTACCAATATTGACAAGAATACCATCTTTGACGTTATGTAGCATTTTATAGTAGAATGGTGTCAAAACATTACCTCGTTTCCAGGTTCACACTAGTATAAAGTCATATATTCTGTAAATTTAAGAAGAAATGAGCTATACAATATCGAAGAAAGTTGAATTATTTTCCTGATTCCTAAAAGTAGCTGAATATGAACTACTTTTTTCTTTGTTAAGCACTACAAAAATACTGTAGTGTTAAATATTTGCTGAAACTAGAATCATATTTAATCACTGTCATTACTGCTAATTCATGTTTGACCTGGTTTTTTCAATTCATTCTTCTGATATTCTCCGTTTGAGTTTCTAATCCAGTTGGATATATGGTAGATGTACGGCAGATTGAGTAGTTTTGGATATCCGTTTCTATCCAAAAGAGTAAACTGAATGAGAAGCGATGGTATATACTTATTATTACCGGTGTAAAAAGTATCTCACTATACCATAAAGTGATATATTCGCTAAAAATTCGAGATATGCATGCTGAATGGGCGGTTTGAGAGCAGACCAACTGTCTTAGATACCTGGCAATTTTTAATTTACTTACGAAATAATTCAGAATACAAACTGGTTTAAATTATTGAACTGATGTGAGAAAGTTTCTCAAGATTGCGTAACCTGTAACTATTCTTAAAAGGGAACTTTTCGACCTAATCCGTTAGTAATTGCTTATCCCTGCTACTAAATCACAACGATAATACTTTTTTTATCTAATAATTCAAATAGAATGCAAACAGTTCTGTTAGCTCATCAATCTATTCTATATAGAAACGAGATGAGTGTATTTGAGCGTCTTATTGTTGGAATGGTAAGAATTCAGTTCAGTACTGAAAAGTGATTAGATTTGCTTCTTTTCTATCTATACATCATCGTCATCATCATCAATTAACATTGATTTTATCCCCTGACGTGATTAAAATGTCAAAACAATTTCTGTCTTTCTTGCGTAATGGATGGTTTATTCCGCTGCTTGCTCCAACATTTACCATCAATTTACAGAATAATCAAATTTTAGATTAGATTTAACGTCTTCATTGAGGATTAATATGTCAGCGAAATAAGAATAAGAAAAATGTATGGAAAAAAATGGAATGATGATTGTACTTCCTTTCATTTTTCTCCTTCAAATTGATATACCTCTTGTAAAGTCGTCTTATACATCAATATTTTCTTTGACAGAATACCAATGTTCACCAATCATATCTATATTTAGTAGCGGTGAAATGTTTAGATGTAAAGCATGTTATTCTTGTTCTGTATGGTGATCATGATGACATTTTTCTACTTTTTCCACAAAAGCAACAATGGAATTAGTGCACTGGGAAGTGAAATGATCTCTTACACTCTGTGAAATTATAATCGTTTCCTTAATTAAGAAAAACCTAAGCTTTTGTAGCAGAATTTTAATGCAAAACTAGTTTCTCTCCATGTTGTTGTATTCACGACTCATAGCGGAATCCAGGATGCGCGTTTTGTCCCACTTGGGATTCGTCAGCTAGATATACCTGCACCTCGGTGAGAAATGCTGGTACCGCTGAGACTCGGACCTCGTACACATCGCTTCAAACGTCGAAGTGTTATCCACTAGGCCATTGGGGCACGAGAACCACCACTCTTGGGACAGATATCAGTTTTTGTTTATGTGATACTTGTATTTTCCCGCATAGGCGGTCATCTACTAACAGAGGTCGGGCAATTCGACCCCATATAACGACGAGAAATTACAGGTGTCAGTAAACAATACTTTTCCTCATTTTGTGACAAAAATGTGCTACTACTACTACTATTACTAATACTAATACTTTTTGTGGTGTTCATATCCTAGAAAATGTCATACCATTAGGATTTTAATTGTAACAACATGGCTCTAGCTTACGCTTGAGGTAGGAATAAGCGTTAATCTATGGATGGCATGAAACTAAATGTTCTCAAGTTGTTACACTTTAGCCAATAGAATCCCTACAAGCCTCCTAATTAAATTAATGTCTGTTTGTTTTCATTTATCAAACTTAAGGAGACAACGGTAAGACAATGAGAATATTTTGGTGGGAAAGTGGTTTTGTATAACTAACAAAGTGTATTATATTTTCAGTCTAAGTTAACCCAGCACATATTTCGTTTTGCTTTTGCTTTCTAACTTTGTTTGTTCTTAAAATTTGTATTCCGTCTAACTTTCGATTATACCCTTTCTTTGGACTAAATACAAAATGACTATAAAATAAAGGGCTATTCGTTTGTTTTAAAACGAGGATTCTCTGTTAATATTTCAATATAATTCTTTTGAAATCAAATTTTTAATGGTTCTTATTTTCTGTTCTGTGACCGATATTCTAATGCAGGGGAGCTGTATTATTTGGCTAGAAGCATTTCATGTTTATTTATCCGTTTATACACATATGTGTGCTTGTTGAAGAGAAGTAATTTCAACGTTTTTATGTTACTAGTCACATCTTACCTGTAGTTCCTTATGCTTAAATGTTATTCACTTTAAGTAATTGGTTAATTTGGTGACTTTCACACCGAGTTTTATTGTTATTCCTGGTGATGGTATGTTTTTGGGTAAATATGAAATGGTTTGGTTACTTTTATGTTTCCTCAAATAGTCTTTGAATCGATGGAAGCTCAAACCCGTATATTTGAGGGTTCGTCGACAGTTTATAAGATGGATGGCATATATCCGAATAGCCTAGTCATCACCTACTTCGATTAGAGTACTCGCATCTAGTTATAGCATACATCTATAGAATATTTCTTTGTTCTGAACTATATACAAATGTGCATGTTTCCTTAGGTAGGCAGTTAAGTGAAAAATGAAATAGACAGTCATATAAATTAACTTTAATCTGTTCCAATCGATGAATTCTTCAGATTATCGCCTTATTTCCTCATAGATCTTGAGTACTTCATAATTCCATGAATGATTTTCTATTTTCTTTCGTAACCTGTTCTGTACTCAGATTTATTTTGCCATTATCTACAATGTTTTTATTTCACCGCCTTGATTTTCCGATGGTTTGCTGAGATAAACTATTGTCACTTCGACGCATCTAATTATACGTTCTCGGAGTAAATCTGATGTTATCAAATCAAACATCTTACATTTACTCTAAAGCATGTTAAATTCATAATCATGTACAATTACAGGACTATTCATAAAAACCCTATCGATATACCAAAAAGATGGAAACTGAAGCAGTTCAACTTCATACCTTGCATACATTCTCGTCAACGGAAGCATGAATCAAGCCTCCCATTGAACACCTTATCCAGCTGACAGTTGCTACTTGTACATGACGGTGGCATATGCATCATAACAACCTAGTCGAACTGTGCTGACTGGAATGATTTTCATGATACACAGTAGTTATTGAGGTCTTATGTTTTTTACTGTGTTCACTTGTCTATCTAAAATCTAGGAATACAAAGCGATCATCTATACTTAAACTTCTAGTATATGTTTGCTTTGAATATTTAACATCATCATTGAGAATAAAGTATCTTCATAACTGAGCCATTTTACTTATTGTTCGCTGAAGGGTAACTAACTTCATTTAGTGTAGTTCTAAGTGCTGATTGAATTCTATCGACCATTTTGTAATGTGGCTACCAGGCTAGGCAACTGAGCATCGCGATACTTTTTCGATAGACGTTAATTGGATGGAAGCAATCGGCAAGAAGTCCTTGACCTAGATTTCGGGCACTCATCAGCAAGGCGCATCCGTAATGTCTATGAAACTGGGTTCCAGCTTGAGATTCGAACCCTCATCACTTTATGGTGAATTCAGAAACGTTACCACTGAGTTATTGGGATCATGATTGACCTCCTGTAGGACTGGATCAGGTACATTGATTGATCACTGCAGGATTAGCAATTACATGTTGTGTAGTCCTAATTGCTGACTTAATTATATCGATTATTTTCAATATGGCCACCAAACTAGACGACTCATCATCGAATCTCAGACGCGACATCAGTTACGTCAAGGTTGAATATATGTCCTCCTGACGAATGCCAAAAAGTACGAAACTTAGGTCCAGGGCCTCCTATGGATAGAGTCACCTCTGGAAATTATTCGATACTATGGGATTCATTTTAAAATTATTCACCTCTATATACATCATTCACTACTGAGCACAGAATATTGCGAAAATTTGATATTTTAACTTATTCAAAATTAAAAGTCATTACTGTTTCTCTTCTTATTGTAACAAAGGAAATAACTTAGTTTAACAACTACAATTTATTCGCCGTTAAAGGTGTTAATTTCGGCTGTTAACTATTTCCTGTCGCCACTATCAAGAGGAATAATTTACACTTTTCAACCGTTCTTTTGTTGTCTTACATTTGTATTATAGGTAGGGATGAAGGTAAGGTTGTTGAAAAAAACTGTATTAGAATAGTGCTAACACATACGAATATGCATATTGAATTCTTAAATTCATTAATTTTGTAGAATATTCATGCTTTATATATGTATATATATATGTATGCTTTTACTTAGCTAAAAGCAAATGCAAAATTATTATAACCTATATAACCTATATGATTTTATTTTATACATTGTTTTTCTGAAAATACTTTCTCGTAAATTCCTAACTTACTGTGGTAGTAGTAAAAATGCAACTACTTATTTGTCAGTAGTTTTGCATATTATGAGATTATCTAAAATTCTACTGGGTAACAACTACATTGGTTACATCATATGGTAGTTGGTTTTTCGTAGGTAATCTAGTTCTACATTGCTTGAGTTATGTCTTGAATAACATGGTGGTTTTAGTCCCTAGCTTCAGAAATCAGGTATATAGATTAAAATTTTTGAGATGAATCAATTTTTTTTAATAATAAATACTAAGAAATACAAAAATGAGGTTCATAACGTTCTTTCAATCGATTTCAAACATCTTACATCAAGTTTAAGGTTTTTCTCAAATTATTAATTTCCTATGGAATATGAGTATTTCTAAATAGAAATGCGGTTACAGTTAATGTATACAACTAGTTATCAGTACTGCTAGTTATTGAAGATTATTAAAGAACCATGAACACTATGCTTATTGTAAATTATACAGGAAGAAAAATATGTCAATATTATTTTAACATTAGAATAAACTTTTAAGAAAATCTTATGTCCCAAAAGACAACCAATTTTTCATTCGAAATTTATAAAAAGGATCAATAATAATATGCTAAACGAATTTAATATTTTTAAGTGAAAACTGGTCTTTGTAAATTCACAGCTCAGGGTGGTAATGGCACAATTAAGTTATAACCATTTATGAAATTTCTCAGTTGTTTCATTTTAGAACGAAAATACTCAAATCCTGATATGAATTATATATGTTTTACAGCTGTTGATTAATATTTAAAAAAGTAAATGAATTCCAAAAAAGTATTTTTGTATCACCATCATTTTATATTATATCTGTAGACTCTTAAAATAGTTTAAATGGGTTCAAATTATATAGTCATTCAGGTTAACTGGAGAGGGTATGATGTTCTAAGCACTGTTAATGTTGATAGCGATAACTTGAAATTAGGATTGAATATCAGCAGTAAACCATTTTATTTTGTCTGGACAAAATCTGTAGAATCTTTACTACCAATGTGCAACACAACTGATGGCTACTTCATAAAATATCCTCAGTGACGAGTATGGAGTACGACCAGGTCATTATTATCAGGGATTTTAACGTTATAACTCCCAGTATTGGTCAGGATAGGGGAACCTCAAGCCAAAGGTTCAACTGAAACCTACTCAACACTACTGAAAAGACTGAACTACGTGAGAATGTTGCCGATGACACTCTCTGGGAGTCGGGTGGAAAATCCCCGAACTGGACTACTTTCTTACCAGCAATACAAGCTGTACAACCAATGCAAGCAATTATACTAAAACTGTACCCGTCGCACAAGAAGTGGCTATCGTGGCCCGGTGGTGTAATGGATTACGCTCCGACGTTTAGAGCGGTCGCTCCCGAGTCCGAATTTTGGTGGGAACAATATCACTCACTAGGAGACAGGTACATCCAGCTGACAAGTCCCAAATAGGACGAAATGCACATCCTGGGTCCCATTGGTAGCCACTATCCATCATCACCAGAATAATTCAGTTTGTAAATTCAGTCAGATAAATATCATTGCATTGTTCTTACTATTGATCATGTAACTCATGGTGTTATCGTTAAGTAACTGAATCCCTGTAGACCGTTAAACCTTATCATTCAATCTACATGATAACATTTTTAATCTTATGCTCTTAACTATTTATCAACCATAAATGATCGATGGAATTCGATCAGCACTTACTACTAGACTATACGAAGTTGGTTACCCTCCAGTAACCAGTCGATATACCTAATCCAATCCTACAAGAGGGTCACTACTGGCCTGCATAGCCCAGTGGGAATGTCTCTGATTGCAGCACTAAGTGATTTAGGTTTTTGAACCTCAGTCAAGATATCAGTTCCGTAGAGGTTGCAGATATGGCTTACTGATTAGTGCCGAAATGCACAAAACCTAGGTCCAGGACTACACACCGATCACCTCCATCCAACTAACATAATTAATCTTGTTACACCAGGTATGCACAGCTAGTAAAGTTGTCGGAATATTAATTATCACTGGGACAAGAAATATGACATTGCGCCATCATCCATAGTGACTTGTTAAATTGTAAACTAGTGCTTTCAAAGAATTTCAACCTCCTGAGGTTTGTTCTGGAGCTAGATTTCTAGTTAGGAACGACATTTATTAGTTTGTGGAGCTTCACTTATGGGTGGAAGTTGTATTCAAATGAAGGGTTTTTATCAGAATATATATGGATTTAACCTCTTAGCAGCAAAAAAAAAACAGTTTCAGCAACTGATCACTGAAGTTGTGTCCTTGTTCTGATCTTGAGTTTTTATAGTATTAGTTATTCACCTAACGAGTGAATGAACTGGCAACTCACATTAAGATTCATTAAACTTGCAATTATGGTATGGATAGTTGGGTATCAGTCAACCCATTGCAGCCTCCATCGACAGACTTCGATCATTGCTGAGCAATAAGGTCTAGATAGGTGCCTCTCTTATCCTGTTGGTGAATAATTTGTGTACTTGAAATGAAGTTTTATTGTTAATTCTTAAGTCTCTTAAACAATTATCAACTGACCTAAGAATAAATCTTGCTTTATTGATGATTGGTTAGTTCAAAGACTGATGTCATGTTCTTTATATATAAGAATCCACGTCGAATTCTTTGAAAAAGGTACGTCATACATATTTGTTATTTTTTTGCAACAAGTTTTCCAGTCTTTCTTTTTTCCAGTCCATTCATCAGGATAAAAAAAAACTTTTTTCATGTGATTTTTAAAATTTTCCTGCAATGTTCCATTTATTTGACGATAGTTTCCTTGTTTCTGTGACGAAAGCTATGTTAAAACCAGAGATTTGAAGATAAACAGATAGCTTATGAGCTTGTAAATTGATGGTGAATTGGTTGAGTGGGTCGTATACAGCACATTCTAAAGCAAAGCATAGTGTAATGTTTGATGATTAGAATAGTGGTCTATAGAAAAGAGCTAAGGATATAGTTTATTTTGCGAACTTGCTAACTTTCAATCCAAATCTTGTAGGGAAAATCGTTGATTTCTTTTCTGACATTCTAGACATTGCAGAGACATATGTCTTAGAACTTTTCGTGGTTATGGTTACCATTTAGTTATAATGAATCAGATAAACTCAGTGGTTGTATTCTGATGAATTTAACGATTTCTTCCAGTTACATCACTCTTCTTTTTCATCTTGATACATTTTTTTGCCTGTTATTTCGATGTTTCACTGCTTGTATGTAGGTTGATTTTGCAAGTCAGTACACTTTTGTTCAGCCTTACGTGCTTTTATTAGTACAGGTAGAACAACGTGAAGCTTATGACCAGTGTACATCGGTTCAATTTATGATGATAGAAAATAGTTTAAATGAAGAAAATCAACAGGATGGAAGGATGTTGGGCTAAACGAGGCAAAGGCTGCAACTGATTAGGAGTAGAAACAGATAAATGAAGGTCAACGTGATGTTTAACATTCATAGAAGACAATGAATATATATTGTAGTGTTACAACAGCTTTTGAAATGCTTTACTTCAGGTCTCTAACCATGGATTTATCTTGAAAATTTCTTGTTCAGATAACCTATGCCTCCATATACAGCTCAATCCAGCAGTTGATAGTTTTGTGGGCCTGTATAAATTTTTAGTTTTGTATTGAATAGAACAATTACTCTCCGGTAGCATTTTTTCGCAATCACGTATCGATCTGTGATAAAAGCAGTTTCTAAAAATTTATTAGAACTCATCAAAACACTATCAAATCTTTAAGCTTTTTTAAACAAATCCCTAATTATGCATTATTGATGGGTAGTGGCTAGCAATGGAATCCAGAACACATATTTCGTCCTATTTGAGACTCGTCAGCTGGATGTACCTGCCTTCCAGTGAGCGATGCTATCCACCACTAAAACTCGAACACGTAATCGACCTCTCTATGGTTTGAAGCCATCGGTCCCGAGTTCGAGTCTCAGATGGAACAATACCGCTCATTGGGAAGCAGGTAAATTAAGCCGATGATTCCCAAGTAGGATGAAACGCGCATCCTGGATTCCACTACCAGCCACTATCCATCGTTAATATAAGAGTAAAACACGGGCAATATCGAGGTATCCGCTCAGAAGATCATATGCCAATAGAGACTGATAATTTCGATCCAATCAACAACGAGATAATGCAAGTTACAACATGAAAATCCCTAATTACTTTCTTAACTACTGTGTAGTTGATTTCCATTCTTTAATTTTACCTTATTTGCCTGTCCTAGTTATTCTCATTGAACTCTAATTTCTCATACTGTCTTTAATTGGATAGTACACTTAATAATTCTCTTCACCTCTTGGAGTTAATCAGTATGAAAATTTACTACTTTATCAGCTAGGACCATAGATTAATAGTAAGTGAAGTGAATAATTAGTAACTTAAGCAATACAATGCATTGAAGTGTTTTCATATTTCGATTAACGTACCATAAACAACTTTCTTCGCACTGAAAGTAACATTTTTTATTTGTTTTTCTTTTTCTGAGAAGCATCCAGTTCACCATTTCAAAACTAGGTATTCTTTGGCTAACAATGTTGATGAATTCAAATATTAAGTTTTCTAACTTTGATTTCACTTTCTTGTTCAGTATTACTTTTTACCTTTCCTATTATTGTTGATAATTATGACTAATAACAGTGCATGTTCCAGGATAAAAAGAAAGTGTGTAGCTCTTAAATGAAAGTGATTATACTTTACTGTAAGTTGTGCTTTGAAGTTTAATTATTAAGTTTTCATCTTCAGTACTGATGCTTTTAAATTAGCACTAACTTAAGATCTCAACGTTCAAAGGACACCTGTCTACTGTCATCCTATTACTTTGGTACAACTCTCAGATATCTCTAAATCTGTTGAGTGTAACTCCCTTCAATGTAATGACAAATGGAATAATTTTCGCTCACCAAACAAATTCACAATTTTTTTCCCGAATGAATTTTGAAGCATGGAAATTACTGTTACGAAGTGTTTAACAACCTCTTTTCAAATTCAGGCTGATAGTATCACACAAATGCGGCGATGAAACCTCCTGAATGAATTACGAAGTCTAAAAGTTCACTGACACAACAAGCTGACGCATTGTATTGAATAAAAAAAATCCTCTGACATCCTTATGATGCAACAAGTAAAAGACAGACAGATAGACAAGATCATTGCAGGATCTCACACACAAGTGCATCGCCTATGTTACCACACTTACAGTTTATTTTTTTCCCCTTGTGTTCCTAGTGGAACATGGGGCTTCAGTAGCACTTCTCCACTGCCACTCCGTTCTCTGCAATCTTTTGGACCTGGCACCACCACTGCTCACAAGCTTTCGTTTCTTCCTCACATGATCTCCTCCATATCACCCTTGTCTCGGACGCCCAACTCGTTGTTTCCCCTCTGGATTCCACTCAAAGGCCTGGCACATGATGTCCCCAGTCAGCCTTCTTAGTATGTGCCCAATCCATCTCCACTTTCTTCTGCATATTTGTTGGGTGATAGATTCTTGGTTGGTTCGTTCCCAGAGTTCATTGTTGCTTATTCTTTCTGACCATCTGATCTTCAGTATCAAGTGAGCGTAAGCGGCAGCTCTTGATGAATGTCTGTAGTTTATTGGAAGTGCTTTTCGTGACACGTTTAGTTTCTGGACCATATAGAAGCACTGACTTGACATTGGTGTTGAAAATTCGGATCTTTTTCTTTGTGCCGAGTGCAGTAGATCTCCACACTGATGTCAGAATAATGAAAGCCTGTCTTGTTGTCCTTCCGATCCTGGCTCCTTTGACATCCTCATCTGTGCCGCCGCCTGTAGTAGTTGAAACGATGCTGCCCTGCCTAGGTAGTTAGGTGAAAGAGACTACTTCCTTTAGGTTTCTCCGGTTGATGGTGATTAGAGCTTGTTGTTTCGGTTGGGTATCTTTATCACCTCTGTCCTCTCTACGTTCACTTGAAGTCCCGTCTTCGCTGCCCAGCCTCTTCTGACAACTTGTTAGTTTTCGCCTGTAGATCTACGAGTTTGTGCGACATTAGACACTAGACATAAATCATGATCGGATAAATCCAAATCTTCCAGGCTCTTTTCATCAGTCCAGCCAGCGTATACCCCTCTTCTCGCTCCTCACCGTTTGCTGCATCATCCAGTCCAGTCGACCACAGTCAGAAAGATCGTCGGTAACCGAAGGTTGTAGATTTGTCTTACTCCTATCTTCATTTCAAAGGTGTCACTGAGCTTTCCATTGTGAATCATTTGGCACATGGCGTTGTCATATAGGTGTTGAATGAGGTTGATAAATATTTGTGGCACTCCATAGTGTTAAGGCAGCTACCTGCCAAATACTTATCGGTCGGCGCTGTCGAATACCTTTTCAAAGTCGATAACACTTCACAGTGACATACAAATAACAGATGGATAGAAAAATAGTGATATCAAAGTAGACATTGTTGTGTGAGAGAATAAAAATTTGAAGATGGAGGTTAGTGCGAATATTCAGACTTTAGAAGACGTCAAAGAGTTAATACATTTGCACCATTGTGACCGAATTTCAGCGATATCAGCAAGAATCCCTAACCGCTGATTCCTTACGTTCCAAGGATTTCAATCAGTCAGTTTAGATCTCACACTATTCAGACCAAAATTAAGAGGCTTCACAGATTAGTGTCATCTTTATCTGGCCACTCTGATTCCTCTTCTTACCTAATCCAACTTCCCTAACCATAGCTCTCTCTCTCATAACCTAAGTTGACGAGGTTGTGAACCTTCATCGACTGAGATGGTTGGGACACGTACTACGTATGCCTAGTCACCGATTGCCTTGTCACACAATGTTGGCTGAGGTGGGTCCAGGCTGGAAAAAGGCCCGAGGTGGCCAGACTAAAACATGGCACCAATGTATGAAGTCTCTGACTGTTAGTTTAAGCCATGTGGGGTGATACAGACTAGGTGGTTGGGGTCTGGGGGACAAGAGGAACCAGTGGTTGGAGACTCTAGGTGATATGGCTGAGAACCGATGTCACTGGGGTAGATGTATACACACATTATCTTCATCTTAACGACACTATACCGAATCCCACCATTTTGTCACTCCTCTTTCCTTTCTTCTCGTACCTTATATTTCTTTTGACTGCATTCACTTATCTTCATCCTTCACCTCACTACCTTTCTACTTGATGAAGTGATGTGAGGTGTGGCAACTCGGACCGTTACGCAGTAATGCCTAGTCCTATGTTGATAATGATGATGATGAGCTGTCTGAGTTAGGCGGTGTATCGCCATGCATAGTATATGTTCAAACCACCTCAGCTGACGAAGGTTCACAACCTCATCGACTCACTTTTCTCCCCTGTCTGGCACCCTTCGCCTTACTTCAACATTACTCACAAGGTGATTCCATCAAACGTGTGCAATACTACGAAGACATTCGTGATCAAATTTGTATAATCGTTTTGTATTTTCTATTATCATTGGCCATGTCTCAGAGCTGTATAAAATTAGTAGGAGGGGTATTTTTAGGAGTTAAGACAGCAAGTTGCACATACCGAAAAATTTGTGCTTATCATATTTTGATTAAAAACTTACATAAAATATGGTATCATGTTGCATATTTTCTTTTAGATATTATTTGGTTCAGTTAATCTCAACTTCATTTTAGTACTGTGTACTGAGATGACCTGAAGATGATAAAATAGTTGTAACTATTACTTGGTAATAGTTGAAGTGGATTGTGATGTATCTTCTGCAGTTAATATCATAAACCGTTTCTTTCCTTATCATGTGCACATATACATTTGATCACTATGACCTTCTAATTTTCCCTTTCTTTTCTTTCTTTTCTGATTTCTTTTGGAAAAAACAAACAGATTACTACAGATTTAAATCATACTTGTACAGATAATCATTCTGGTACATCAGCCAGTGCACCGTTAGCTGCTGGTATATGCGCTCTTACTCTATCAGCAAATCCAAATTTAACATGGAGAGATTTACAGTATTTAGTTGTTTATACAGCACGTCCTGATGGATTGTATGCAGACGACTGGCATGTGAATGGTGTTGGTCGACGAGTATCTCATGCATTTGGGTAAGTAGTTTTTGAGTACATCGATATGCTTTTTTGAGAAATAGTAGTAACAGAGTCATTATTCAAGATAATCTATCGATTAACAGACTATCTTGTACTGCTAACTATCTTCAAACATTTTGTATTACTATTCACCGGTTATCATATTTCACATACAGACCAACAGTAAAAGAAATACCCTTTTTGAAATACGAAAATGGCATTCTGCGTTTGATATCCTTATGCAAATCTTCTTCTGATCCCCCACTGCTTTCCTACATCTATTCAATTGAATCTATTCATTGTATAACCAACTATTTAGACAATCGGGAAATGGATAGGCTATTGTTTAAATACTGAAAGATGATTGACAGTCAACTAGGAGTTTAAAGGCAAATGAACAACAGTGATATTAAGTTACACTTGTAATGGTTCATTACAGTGTAAATACGTATCTGTTTATCATAATTCTAAGCATTTGTTAACATTGAGTTACTCTCTGACTGAAGCTATACTGATGATCACATTCATCCTAATATAACTCAATTGAAAAATTAATATCTTGACATGGAAATATACCTTTTAAAATATTTTTACATGAAATTTTTCATAAACCTTATAAAATAAATTGAAGAAAAAATCAATGAAACATTTGGCTTATAAATACTTCAAATCGTTTTGAACTTAAAGTTGTTGATCATAATGGTCATGTTGTATTACAAATTGATAGAAACTGGGGAAACACTAAAAAAAACCATGTCTTTGAATATTTAATGTGAGCTTTGATGAAATCATTCATCTTTTTGATCAAACCTGTACAATCAGGAACAATAATTAAATTACCAGAAAGTATTCACATAAATGAGAGCAATAATATTCTACTAGTTTTCTGAATTTTGTTACAGTTCAAACATTTATAAATCTTTAGGGAAAGTTTAAAATTACTTAAGTGACATTCTAGGCTACATTTTCAATAATCCGAAATGTGATTTTCATTTAAGGCAGATATTATTATCTCATGTAAAGATTTTGTTGAAAAACACTTTATGAAGTCGACATTTTTAACTGAAAAATTATTTTTAAAATCTAGGTGAATAAAACTATTCTGTACTGTTCTGCATTGAAATATATTTAAAATCTTGAAGACCAAAATTTACAGTTTTCAAAGTTTTTTAGATATTGGTGACTACGTTGACTACTGATGTTATGAAATACATGTAAACTGATATTTTTTTTGCGATACATAGAGATTAACCACATTTCCTTTTAAAAATGTAAAGTAACCCATATTCTCTACATTTAGTTAAAACTAATCCTAAAATGTTTTCTTGAATTTTCGCTACAGTTGTTTGGTTATTTTTACTGCAATAAATGGTGTAATATGCATTATACATAGATAAACTCACACTTTAGTCACCATAATCTTTGATGAAAACATAAAGAAGCATATATTATTCACATTTGAGAAATTTCACGTTGATCACGGTCACTAAAATTGATCGAATGACTTCTGTTAGCAAATAGACACCTTTCTTCGTTATATTTGTATTGTCATACCTTTTAGTGGGATGTTATTCATTTTGACGGCCGCTAACAGTGGAATTCAGAACCAAAGTACCATCTCATTTGTGGCTCATCAACTAGACGTATATGTATCTTAATGAATGATGATATCTTCTCTCGGCCGATAGCTTCTCTTTTGACGTTATGATCCAGCTGTATATCAGAATGACAACTGGCTATGCTGGTTGGAACATTCGGACCTTGACGTTCAGCCATCTTTGACATATCTATGAAATACTTGTAAGAAAAGAATCAGTTACTGTTATAGTGTAAATACCTGCTCTATAATAGAAGATTCAAGGTCTAAGTAGTGCTGCTGACTGGATGGTGTGTGACAATGGTAAATTATTTCCATGGATGACCAGCAGTGCCATGCTTATTTTACCCCTCATGTGGAAATAGGTAGTAGAAAAGGTGATTCCTGAAGGCATACCACTCTTCCCTACCCTCTGGTATTCCGTTGTCGATGGTATAGATTTTACCTGATCGGTGTTAACACAACCGAAACGCAATCCAGAACTCTTAGAAACTCCGTGTGTGGTCGGTTTCAAGCAGATATACCTTGAGCTCCGCTGTCACATGAAAGTTATCTATTTTCCTTATTAAGTACTTTTGAGAAGCACCTTTTCCTGTGTGAACAACCGATGAATACCAACATCTCATACACTTTTAAAAGCAAACAAAAACTCAATTAACTATAGACTGCCCTCCTTACTTTCGTCATATCTATTGCCACCACTTCCTGATACCGATGTTGCGCCCTTTACAGCTCCCTCAGTCTCTCACTCCAAAACTCTTACTTACGTTTCATACAAGTGAAACATCATTCATAGTCTACTAAAACCATGGTGCCATTTTTACATTGAAGCTTTCAACGTCAAATCGCTTTGCCAATTCTGACAACAGGTATCATGTACTGGAATTGTGAACTATTTATGTATGCCATATTTTGAAATACGCCTACAGGATGCAAGCGTGGTTATTCACGTGACTTTATCGGGCCACTTCAGTGAAACTGTGAAATCCACTCAACAAGTGTCTGAAAATTTGGTTAGTAGTTCTCGTAAACTCGCTGGTGTGTAGTATTACGTTGTGGAGCAGAAATCACACTACTTGATTGGATACCAGTCAAAAGTTGTACCTGCGCTGTCTCACTGAATGGTTCTATATGAACTTGAAAGGATCAGGACACTTGTCGATGTCTATTTGTAATCTCCGCCTATGCATCAACAACCGCCGTTCGGATGATACAAAGAATAAGCTCTAACAAAAGTTGTTAACCTTGCTACATAAAGCAGAAGGCTCAGATACAATCAAAGTATTAGGTAATTTCTAAGCTCAAGTAGGGAAGTTGAGCAAATCAGAAAGGCATTTAGGAGGTATCTGTAGCATCTTATGGCCACAAACCAACAACGGTGATCTTCTCTTGCATTTTTGTTTTGAGAAAGACTTATTTCTGGTCAGCACTAACTTCGATTATTAGGGCAGACACTGCCTCATATAACGTCTTCTGAAGTAAAACTATGGACACGGATAGATCATATTGCTGTAAGCCATCACTAGGAAAAACCAATGGAGGATCACTACTCTTTATGGAGTACGTGTTTAGACTCTGATCATGCGTTAGCATGGGGATGTGTGTATTTAAGTATGACTAGTTGTATGAAAGAAACAGCAGTAAAGCCTCTGTGTTCAACTTTAAGATGAGAACATCTAGTGTATGTTTAGGGAGGAGTTTTCTACGTACTCATTTGAATATGGCAGTAATTCTCTTCCTGATGAAGACTGGCATAATATTCAATCTAGTGTAAAAACATCTACATCTAAATGTTAGCCAGAGCCAGTGAATTTTCTCAACGTCATTCGAAATGATTGTTACGAGAAGACTTATTCCAGTTGTCTGGGACCGCGATGAAGGACGAAATCAGCTGAAAAGTAAGTTGACTAGAAGTCTTCGTAATAACGACTGGCAGAAGTGGGTGACGAAGGTGAAAGAGATGGATAAAGCATCAGCACTGGGTAATATTAGCAAATTATTTCGGCTTATTAAGGATACTGCTAAGAAGAAGATAACGTGTTAAACCGTCACCAAAAAGGATGGGACGCTGATAACCTTTCAGGATAGATGGCTGTAACACTAGGTAGAACACTTTAAAGAGCACTCACGCTTCATTTGCCCAGCATCCAGCGTAAACCTAACTGAAATATGCTTGTTGGCCATTGAACTCGCCCTGAAGTTTCGAGGGCTCTTCCACACCTGAAACGATATAAAGCATCAGGGTCTGAGGGATTACTATTGGACATTTGTTGGGATAGAGGTTAAAAATTACTGAGCAGTGAGTAGGATAGTGGTAGCTAACGGGAATCGGAGAATGTTTGATCAGACTAGTCTCTTTCAATGATCATTTCAGTGTATAAGAAGGTACAAATCTCTTTTTGTGATAACCGAAAAGGAAGCAGTTTGACTAACTACGTGGTGAAGATCGCAGGATCTATAACTGTCCGACGACTAACTGGAGCTCGAGGACAACTATTTCGAGAAAAGTAAACGGGCGTCTTCCAGATCTTTACCTTGTAATAGGTTTTAGGTTACTTGTTTATAAACCGGCACCTGATCCTTGCAATATTTTCTCACTTGAAGATTCCACTCAGTTCTGTCGATCGAGGGATTTTGTGGCAGGGTCTGATTGTGAAAGAAGCGAGTATATTATGATAACCAAATCTCTTCATTCAAATTCATGCAAACATATTAGAGCCAATGGGGGATTTTCATTATCATTAACGAGAATTAGTGGTGTCATTTAAAGGTGCCGGTTCTTGTTTATTTTGTTTATAGGCGTGGTATTGGATGTGATCTTAGATATCTTATTTTTAGATTAACCTACTTCTGGTAGGGCACCTGACTAACTTGGAATATGCGGATGACGTTGTTCGGTTGGGTAAAAGTCGCTGAAAACATGCAGATGTTTCTGAAGGCCGTGAATTCAAATCCTAGGATGTTTGACACGCTTTTCGGTTCTGTCAAATGTAAGGTTGTGCTTCAGAGCTTACCTGCATCCGATCTCAGTTTAGAGATAGGGAGTTAGGTGGTGAAATGCAACAACTCGGTTGCTGAGAAAACCTCCCCTCGGATATCCAAGACTTGTTTAGCATTTGCCGACTTGCACTGTCTTTGTTGCCAGCTGTAAAGATATCTGACTATATATCGGAAGACAACTCCATTGCAATGCAATCCTCTCTATCTCGTTGTACGGCTATGTATATAGTCCTTGACATCAGAATATGCGAATAGGTTACAAGCTCTTGGCCATATGGATTTCCGCGGTATTGCTCACGTATGGTAGGATCACCGTTTGAGTCGTGTCAAGACTAGGCGGAGGCTACCAGGCAAATAAAGCGAGTCAGTTAATTAGGTTGTGAACCTTCAGCTTTTGAAATGGCTTAGACATATATTGTGC